TGAAGCGCTGGCTAGGAACACTCACAATGTGTGGGCCAGAGAAAAGATCAAGAGGGGATGGACATTTGGACTCAGTGAGGTAGTGGTTTACTGTTGTTACTATAGAGGTTCTTTCAGACGAATCGAAGATGCTTCTTCGGAATCTTTTAGTATCGACTGCTTAATACGGCTCTCTTAGTTTGGTCGATACTCTTCCAATACTGTTTTGTTATGATAACTGCTGTTTAACGCCGCAGTACGCGTTCCGAATGTTACAAGAATGCTGAGTTGTGGGCAAAAGTCGTGCCCCAGGCGGGAGTCGAACCCGCACCTCACGCTTTCCGGGCGAGTGCGCTATCCGTTACGCCACCAGGGCCGCTTTTACCTCCTACCTTTTCTCCCAATACTGGTTTGCCCGCGGTGCAATACTTGCCACCTCCTCCCCCTACCACTGCTCTTGTTGGCGCTGCTTTTGGTGAGAAAAAGGGTAATTTTTGGAGAATTGATAGGGGGTTGGAAATGTTTGAGAAAGTGGTGGACAGAATGTGGAAGGGAGTACCATACAATGAGAATATTTGGGGACCAGGCCTAAAACTTTAGCAGTTCCACCCATTGCGGCCCTGAATGGATAGGAATAAGTGGCAACGGCTAACAAAAACAGCGGACCCCCCGCGACGGATGCTAGGAAGAAGAAATGGCTGTGATCGAAGGGTGACAAACTGAGTGAAAAATTGAGCATGGCTCCTCTGAGGTAGCAGTTTCACAGAACATGCATACTCGCCAGTTCCACTATCATTACGAATAGCTCGCTCACTTGCTCAAGAATTGATGTGAAGCTAAATACGTGACCTATATAACATTTGCTTTTAGTTTGTCGACTCCACCCAGAAACGTTCACCACATCTGGTACCATACGAGGAAGTTGATAATAGAATCAAAGGAGGCCAATAAGGTAGCTTTATAAAGTTTCAGGCAGTAATTTGAGACGACTGAGAGAGGAAGGGGCGCTAGCTAGGCGAAATCACGGTGATTCAGTTTGCCATGACTATTTCTTTGCAGGAATCAGCCGCTGAAAATCTTCGAGCGCTCCAACTATTCGGCATTTTCATTGAGCCTCCTGCACACGAACACGACGAGTGTAAGAGATACCACCAGTCATGATGCGACTTTATTCCAATTGGAACAATGACCCCGTTTTTTTCAGATGCTGAAAAAGAGATGCGAGCCCGCAGAGACCTTGTGCGTACCTATCGCGCTGAAGCAACGTATGCGGTGACCAGTGGCAAATGGTAACCATCTAATAGCCTTCACTATGCCCAGCACAGCGGGTCAGCATACCTGAACATTACAGGTACTTCGAATTCGAAATTCTGACAGCTGGGTTCATGAAGATTGGGTGGATGGACGTTGGAGCTTCGCCAGACATTCAACTTGGCCATGATGATCGAGGATATGCCTTTGATGGGTTTGTAGACGTCCTATTCTATGTGCATTCCAACTATTCCGCTTCTGAAGGAATTCAGGAATTTCAATAGGAAACTATACTGTTCATTTCCCCATTTTTGTATTAGCTTAGTTGGAGGTCTTATTTTCCCCTTCTCCCAATTGCGCCATTTTAGCTACCTCGGGCGCAAATGGCATCAAGGTGCAGAAAGTTACGGCAAGGAATGGAAAGTAAGCGATCTCTTTGTATATGAGCTAATAAATTACAGTTTTGTTCGTTACGGATGCTGGAGCGTAACAGGGGAGGCCGAGTTTGGCGCTGCGCCAGCCTGTTCTCCACAAGATCTTGGAGACAAGCGACAAGGATTGGTAGAAAGCAGGCTGTTGTCGCTGCAAACCCGATAACTGACACGCCCCAGCATCCACAGTGAACAAGACTATATTTTGATCTCTTTGATGATACCGGATCGTTGGTACATTGGAATTCAGATTGGTGACGTTGTCGGTTGCTTCTTGGATCTCAACGACCGGACTATTAGCTTCTCACTCAACGGAGAACTGCTCCTGGTGAGTTGAATTGAATACACTGTCAGAGGCAAAGTTCGCGATCAGATATTCTGGGTGTGGAGCTTAAATAGGGGTGCCAAGATGCTACGAAAGCCAATGGTAGAGGAAAATAGGGAAACATCGCCAATGCACTTCATAAAACCCCCTAACGAGCGCATTTGTACGACGGAAGGGTGTACGAGATTACCGGGCAGCGCTTTTGTGGTCGATACAGTCGCAGCAGTTGATTCTAGCTGATTCCTTGTTGACAGCCGCGTCTCTGCAGCAGTTGGGATCAAAGCCTGCCTACGTTCCTTGGCGGGTCTCCCCTTATAACGACAGGGTACAGGTTATAACGACAGGCACCCCCCTCTCCCTCACCATACTAGGAGGTGAGGCACATCAGTGTGAAAAGCTTAATGGTCATGAGTCCTTCACTACTCATCCAATGCTCGAAATGTTTTCAAGTTTTATTTCTCCCTGCTAATTTCCAGCTTTACGCTATTTTATTCGCTTTAGGACCCATCCGGTTCCGAGATGGCATTTGATAACGTGCTTTGTGGTGACGGTCTCGTTCCAGCAATGTCTCTTGGAAGTGGTCAAAGAGGTTACTTTACTTGTTGTACTCTATTTTTCCCCTTCAAGGTTCTGATCCTAGGCACAGTTCGGCAGGGGGGGGGGACATTTTGCACTTTCGCTACTTCCCGTGACAATAATTGATCGACGTGTCGACCCATCTAGACAGCCTCTTCTCGAGTTGACAGGTTTTACCATGATGGCTTGACGAGCTTGCTCCAGCTTCACAAGAGTTCACAGGTTTCACCAGAGTGAGACTTGTAAACCGGAACTAGTGAAGCAACGAAAGTGCAAAATGCCCCCCCCCCCGTCGCTGAACTGCGTCCTAATCCTTTTCTAATTCCAATCTTGTGAGGTTGGTCCGACCGTTCCTAAAAGCGAGTTTTCTCTATAATTTGTTTCTCAACTATTATATCGAACTCCTACATTCAATGGGGCCGATCTAGACTTATTAAGGTGGCCCATATCGCCAGCTACAGGAAGAAGCCTGGACATTGACCGAGAGCTCTTACACACTGAGTCACAACTTTACTTTTAGGCCGACTGAATTTCGGACAGCAGAGTAATTCGCTGAAGTTTTTCACCAGCTGTGGTCTGCAAGAAGGATATGAGCCGTTTTGCGTGTAAGCCTTATTTCGTTGTATTTCATTCCAGCGCAAGTCGGCTAAGGAGAGGGCCATTTAAAGGTAAAGCCCGCGATTATTCGCCATCACAGATAGTGGATTAGAAGTTTGCATACAGACGACAAGGTTCTGAGTAACTCGATAGTGAAGAAAAAGCAGAAAAAACATGCCAACTGCCCTAGATAGAACCCCATTCCGATCCCAGTTTGTACGTGCCCAATTAACTCCATCTTCACACTACGCCCTCATCCGCACAGCTGATTCCCCGATAAGAACTCTACGACCGTTGACAATTTCATGCTTTTTCGTCCTGCAGCTTCGTTTTTTCACTGAAAGGCCTTGAAGGCGGAGTCTGGAGGCGGAGTCACTGGAAAAAGGAGGCGTCACTGAACCTATATTGCGCTATAGCGCCCCTCCCTTACAATTTTTTGCCGCGAAACCGGTACAAGGTTGTTCGTCAACACTACCCTCCCAAAGCAATATTTTCAACTTCTATTTCTGATCGCGGGCCGTAGCTTTAAAGGACTCTAGTGCAGAACTGGGGTGATCATGTTGGAGAAAATGATTTTTCCTGATCCGTTGCACATCCCGATTCTCCCAGTTTTCCACACGGAGCCCTTTGAATGCCTGCATAACCCTTGACCTGGAACCCTTTTTTGTGATGATTTTCTCGGCCTATCGAGCCTTCTCCTTCAGCGAGTCCTTCTATATTTGATCTAATCCCATGTGATTCTGTTCTCTTTGAAGGAACATGTACCGAATGATGCCGATGTGGTTCGCCAAACAATTGCCTCGATTTGAAGATATCAGCAGTGGGTCACCGCTGGAAATTTCTCGTATACCAGCCACTGGAAACAGCCCACCATGTCTGAAACTTACACAAAAGGTATACTAAAATACTTTGACTATTACTTGGGAGACACTTCTCTCAAACCAAGGGAACAAATCAGTTTGGGAACCTTACTTTACCTTTTAAGTTGCTTGTCTTCAGGCAACGATCACTGAAAGCGGCCCATCTGAGAAAGCAACCATGGAATACATACGACTCTCGCTTCCAGTAAAATGCAACGAGACGTTCGTCAAGAACAAGTAAGTCAATCGGTGTGAGAGGTTTCCCAACGCCTCTCATATTTAACACCCTAATGAAGATTAGGCGGCTCTTTGGACTTTCTGGGGCGAGTTCGGCTTGTTGGGGGCTTTTCTGTTTCCATCGATCACTGCCCTGTGGAGACCCTATTCCTAATGGAAGAGCCAAATGATCGATATATCGATTTTATGGACTGTGATTAGATTCGCGCTCGCGAGCGAACTTATTTCAACTTTTAAACGTTCCCACGCCTTATTATCGTATATTTATCTACAGGTGGCGAGACATATAGTCCGTTAAAAAATTGATGTATCGACAAGGAGTTACGCGATTCCTTTGATACACTGCATCACAGACTTTGGTGGTGCGTGGTGCCTTGGCGCGAAGGGCCAGAGCGCAGAGAAATACGGGATTCGGATACCCAGGCATTGAAAGGTGAAAGAACATGTTGCTAGCCAGAGTTGAGATTTTTCAGAGAGAAGGGAACTCCAGGGTGGACGAAGCACTCATCCAGTGAGGTCAGTGTAGCCGGTGACAGAGTGCAAAACAGAAAGCTGACACGAATAAAGGAACTGTTCGTAGAAAGGCCCCTATTAAATGCTGATTTTCTGTTGATCACGTTAGCTTCGTATTAGACCAGACTACTAGCAGTTCCCTACCGTGCCTGTCAATAGATATATTGATTTTCTGAAGAACACCTGCATAATTCCTAACCATTACTTTCCAGAGATCGCGAAGCATTGCGTAGGACCATGGCTGAATATAAGCCAAGGAGTCTGTCTGTAGTATCGGGATTCCGAGCGCCAACTATTCCACAAGAGTTCCAGGATCAAGTGAAAGACAGAAAGGTGTGTTTATATTTACATCATAATTTTCCATTAGGATTTTTGGTGCACTATGGACGGTACTTGGAAGCGTGGCACACTCCAGGGTGGGTTATGCGAAGCGCTTCTTTTTCTTCTAGCAAGT